CAGTCTTGGGCAGCACAAGCCAATAGCCACACATCCTACACGCCCCCCCCACCAACACACACACACACACACACACACACACACACACACACACTTTGAAGCTGGGCTCTGTTAGAAAGCATGTGGAAGAAGGCACCTCTCTTTCAAGTCTGTCAGGATTTTTGCTTCACTTGCAAGTTATCAGTTCATTTTCTGGAAAGTTTAAAATAACATAAATGAAAAAAATTAAATGACAAAAATGATCTGCTTCTTGAATGTTACATAGAAGTTGCCTACAAAACCATGTAGGCCTGCTTGTTTATTTTTTGAGGGCTTCTTGGGGAATTTGTTTTCTTGCCCCATATTTATTGGACTTGTTAGACTTTTTATCACTCTTTAACTTTGTTTAAATGAAACCACAAATTTCTTAGGAATGATTCATGTACCCCAGAATTTAAGTTCGTAAACAAGAAGTTGCAGGCAATCTTTAGATGCTGAGGAAGTGTTCTTTTCCCTGGATGTGGTTCTAGTCCCCTTCCCACTCAAACCATGAGATTTTTAAATTGTTCTCTCTCCCTCATTTGTGTGTGTGCTATTTTTGGTTGCACTTACAAGATGCAGAGCCATCTCTTTTTCAAAGCACAAGCTATTGATCTTTTGTCTCCAGTCTGTTTTGTTCTGCTTTCTAATGCATGAATGTCTATTTTGCCTTTATTAATTTTTTGTCTTAAGCTGAACATGCAATGAGAACAATTGATGGTGACAACCAATCATTTCTAAGATAATTTGATCCCCACGTAATCCACCTATCATACAATTCAATAGTTCAGTCATATCAAGAAGAGTTGTAGAATCATTACCACAATCAAGTTTCGAACATTTTTCTTCTCGATCACAAATCATTTATTTTTAGTCTTTCTTGTTGATAGTACCAGTAGGCTACACCGGGGTCTTTCTGAGTGTGCCTCACGTCATGGGCTTCTCGATGCGTGGTGCTTACTTTAGCTTTCTCTCATTTAATTTAGCTTTTCATTCTAATTGTAGATTTTACTTTCCAATATTTTAAAGTTAAGACTGTTCTACATTCAGAAGGCAATTCCCATTTTATTTGTTTCTGGTTTTATCTCACGTTGGGAAGAGAATATCCAGAGTCAACTCAATCAGCAACGCTCAAAAACACCCTTTCAAAAGTTGGCATTTCAAAATTGGCCTGGAGGGTGACACACACTCTTTTGTTCACTCTCTGACATCGCTGCCTTTGGGCACCCAGAGGCCAGCCAATCACATACCTTAGGTAATAATAGCTTGATGCAGTCATCACTAGCTAGGTTTCCCCTGTAACTTTCCAATTCCTCTCCTCCCAAAAGACACCCACTTATATTGATCTCATACACGTCCTTACAGGTGTTTGTGTCTTTGGAAGAAAGAGAGTGCTTCACTCTCTGTGTGTGTGCATGGCCTTGTGTAAACCATACAGTGCTACATACTTCCTTCTGTAATTATTTGTAGAGGCATCTCCATTTTTTTTAGGGTATTCACATTAAATGGTTTTATTCTTTTAAGTCATTGTCCCCAAATGCTCTATATCCAAACTTTCCCAGTCCTGCCAACATCAATTTGGGTAGAGTGCATAATCTTTAGTTGCTTTTAATTGCCCATGACTACTAGTTAAAAGGTTGTCGATTCAAACCCACCACCACCGAAAGGTACCTTGACAGATCTGGCCATCTGGTTCCAGAAAGTCTAACTCACTGCCATCAAGTCCATACTGACTTATACTGACCCTCCAGGACAGAGTGGGTTCTGACTGCAATTTTTTACAGGAGGATAAAACCTCCCCTTTCACCTGAGGAATGACTAGTGGTTTCAAACTGATAACCTTGAGGTTAGCAGCCCGACGTGTAGCCCCTACACCACCAGAGCTCCAAAAGGTCAGAGCCTTGAAACCCCTTTGGAGCAGTTTTGACTCTGCACACATGGGGTCACTGGGAGTCAGAATCAACTCGGAGCCACTAACATCTCCCTTTTAAAAGTCTGAACTTCCAATTCAGGTGTAAACCATACCTCGTGTCTAACCTCATCCCTGCCTCATCATGTGGCGAGTGGAACTGGGAAGGGAGAACCCTCCACCTCTCTCCTCAGTCTCTTTCTTTGCTTGTTAACTTTCAGCACTTCTTTAGGTAGGCTCAATTTTGCCCTACGGGCAGTTGGCAGGATCCAGGGTCACTGTTGCCTCACATTCACTGTGAATCAGATGGAGGCTGGCATTGCAGATCATCACTTCTGCGTTCAATACTTCAATTACTTGTCACCCTTCCCTACGGCTTGTCCTGGCTCCCACCCATCCCACCTGCTCCCACTTTATGCTCCCTCTTGTAGAACACTATCGCCCCCTTCACCCAAGTGAACCCCTTTCTACCCTCTACCCTTTCTCTCCCACTCCTGATAACCATCAAAGTCTGTTTCTTTTGGGATGAAAACCTTTGTCTTGAAAGTATGTATGTATATATAACAGTGGTCTCATCCAATCTCTGTCCCTCTGTGATTGACCAGCTTTACTCAGCATAATGTCCAAATCCAACCAGGCCACCAGGTGTCTCATGGCTTCATTGGTATTCTTTAAGGATGCGGAGTATTCCATTGTGAGTGTGTGTCAACGTGGAGCTATCTATTCTTCCACTGACAGGATTTACGTGGTTTCCATCTTTCCATCCTAGCATGCCCCACTCTTTTTGGTTTGCCAATGAGTTGACTGCAATTTGGGGTGAGCTCGCGTGTGTCAGACTAGAATTGTGCT